TATGGGCTGGGAACTAATTCCTAGGATTTCTTTTCGTCTTATGCAGAAAAAAATCCCCAAACTATTTTATCAACTTCTCTCCTGGTTAGGTTCCTTCTAAATGACATAATTATCTTTGAGTACAATGAAGCATGTATGTGAAAACTGAGAAATTACCAGATAAAGTCGCTTGCTTGTAGATAAGGGCTATGATAGAAACAAGTGAACACTTTAAATCCTAAGGCAGAGTTTTGTTCAAATTAGGCCTCATTGATGTATTAAAAATAATGGAATTTAATAAAATAAAGACTATATAATTATACTCATGAGAATACATGAATTAAAGTACATAACAGCATTTAGATCATTTTTAATAAATATCAGCTTAAAGAGTGCTGGAGTGTTTGATTTCATCTGATGGATTCCGGACTAGAAGAATAATGTGATGCAAAGAAAAAAAATCTACAATTCTAAATAGAATTACAAAAGTATTTTGTAAATAGGTTAATAGGGGAAAAGTGGCACAAAGAAAGAAATGCCATCATTTAATGAAACCTGGGAATATCCATCCTCTGCCTTCCTTGGGTAAGCTGGACTTTCACTATTACAAGTCATTTCAGTTGTGGAAAGAGGAAGGAGCCTGCTTTGTTCTCCCCCCACCACCTCCCCCTTCCAAAAGTAAACATCCTCTTTCGCCATCTGGTGGCTAAAGACAACATTTTCCTTGTAGATGAAAACAGTGGAACTCAGATTTCTAACAGCCAATTATGTTTAATGTCTTCTGATTCAGCTTACTGAAAAGATATGCAGATGTCTTTAACCTATGTAAATAGAACTAAGGCAATTTTGTTCTAATGGTTCACAGAATTTTATTCAAATAACTCTAGCAATAATATTTAATGTAGGATAAAAAAATTAACCAGAACAATTCTTTTAAAAGATCATTTTATGTACTACTCATTTTGAAAGATGAAATTAAATCCAGAAGTAACAATTTGTTTGACCTGAATGCTTTTTGGCATAAAAACTTACATCTTTATGAAAACAAGAAGGTCCAAATATAGTTTTAAATGGTGAGCATAGCAAATACCATTAATTTCAGAGGTTTCAGTGTTAGTTTTTACTGTATTAACAACAGTTATAACCACACATTGTCAATTTACTATACTGAAAATAAGTGCAGATAATTTAACAGGATACAGTTTTCCCTCTATTTCTTAATCAAATGTTCAATGGATCATAAGTACATTTTGCATATGTACATCAACTACCTCATTTCATTAAAAAATTAAAACTGACAGTATTTCATGTTTAATTTCTTTATTTTCTCCAGAATATTTTAATATTGAAACCCAAATTTTTACTCCGAGAAAGGGAAAAACAGAGAAACATGAAGAAACAAACATTTCCTTTCATTTAACTTATGGTATTGTGAGCAGTCACTTTTGTAGGCAACACTTTTTTTCTTTGTAGAAAAGAAGAAATAAAAAAACAAACAGCACCATTAAAGAATGCATGATCCCTGAATTCTAAACAAAACACTGTCTAAAAATTTTTTAAATGCTTGTTGCACTCAGTCACATTTAGTCAGGTATCAAAGCAAGCATAACAGTTTTAAATTGTAGCAGTCTTACTGAATCAACTGCTCCCCCTTCTGAGGATTTTACACACCTTTCTGAGTTTTTCCTGTGGGAATAATATATTCTTTGGTAGAGGACTGAAGGAGGGTTTTACTTTTCTGTATGCTGATATAAAATGTCTATGTACGTTCAGGGCCTTCGCCCCCAATCTGTTTGTCATGCATGTTATGTTTGGGTTGATTTCACATTTTGCTGTTACACTGTAGGAGTAATTCCGCCTTTCAAAAAAGGCATTAAATGGCTAATGTCAAACAGATGTAAACATTCAGAATACTGACCAAAAAAAAAAAAAAAAAAAAATTCAAAAAAAAAAAAAATAAAAAAAAAAAACTGTACTGAAAATAAGAATTAGATTAAGTTTTCATGAAGCAGTGGGGAAAATACAGCAGTACAAGAAAATTATGGCAACCAAGTAAAGCACTTTCCTTGGAACATTCATGAACAGTACAAATACAACAGAGTTTTTCTACAGTCTAAATTATTCTGCAACTATCAAATATAGTACAAAGCGAAATAGTATGTGCTATAAAAAAGCAGCTCCTTTAAATTATAGTAAAAATGCTTTTTGTTCGCTTTACAGTGACAAAGCATGAGGACTGAAGACAACAGAAGTTTTCTATTCAGTGACGTTTTGGCTACATAGGCCCCTGACAGTCTGATGAGTTCCTGTTCTAGGACTCTTCACATTGTTCTCTGGGAACACAGATGGACAGTGAGTCTGAGCTCTGCGTGTTCGGCGGGGGTCATTCCCCCAGGCAGCTAGTGCAGTGCTGGGCCTCCACACCACAGAGACGATGCACCCTAAGATTGGCTTCAGCTTCTAAAAACTGGGACTTCATACCACGGAGAAGCTGGGAAACCAGAGGCCACAGCAACTTCCTCTTTTGAAAATTGTGCGAGTGTTTGTGAAGGAAATGGGGCTGCAACAACATGTATTTTTACTCTTGACTGCACTATAAAGCACCACGGGCACCAGCTTGTTTTTCTGTTTATATTGAACTGAGTAAGAATATCCAAGGTCCGGAAGTCAACTATGCCTTCTACAGCTCATCCCAGAAGCACACACCACCACAGTCTTTATAGCAACCCAGGCTCAACCTTACAGGTTTGTTTTCAAGTTTTGTTTTTTTTTTTTCTTCAAACTAGACCTTAGCAGGGAAATATTATATATAACTATGGTGCTCAGTTCACCAAGATTTCTGCCATTTTTCACTTTGGGGAAGGAAAAAATATTATCATTTTGAAAATGAATTTGCATCAGAACGCTCTTATTAACATGCCCATTAACGACCTAAATGTCTTTATATAACTCAGGCATATGCATATCATATAGGAGGGGGATGAGGGAATAGCAGTTTTCGTCCTTCCCCTGCTCCAAAAGTGCTACTTAGGGAAATACATCCTTTGTGATTAAAAAAAAAAAAAAATGTTTCATGTGCAAGTTTATTCCTGATAGACAGATAATAGTGTTCAATAATCAGGATAATGCACACACTGAAATTTGCACATTATACCACAATAACCATGTAGTAAATAACATACTCTATTTGCACATAGGCAGACACATGTAGAAATCAAGAAACTAAGAACCTACTCACCTAATTCAAATATACTGGCTTTTGTACATATATATTAAATGGACACCTATGAAACATCTGACCCACATTTTACTTCTCAATTTCTTTTTTTTTTTTTTTTTAGCCCAAAGGTTTTCATTTTCTCAGTGATATAAACCATATGCGAAAAGTAGGAATTTGGATTGGGTCAAAAAAGAGAGTAAGGGCACAAAAAGTTATGCTCTTTGGACCTGGGTGAGAGAAATCATGCACTATCAACAATTGATTCTCCAAACGTATGATGTGAAAACTCCAAACATACAGAAGGACACTTTTCTTTATTCCCAGTAAGCAACTTGCAGGCAGTCTTCAACACTGATGGAACTGACAATGAGCCCAGTATCACATCGGCCTCAACTGTACCTCACATAGAGTGCAAAGGTTTTGTAGACTGGAGTTTCTTTCAATGTGTGTCAGTTACTGATGCGGTAGTTTTCAATTTGCTGGTGTAGACAGTATCTGACACTGGTATAGCAGCGACTGAATTTGGAAGAAGTTGGCATACAAGTGTCTATATTATGAGTGCCCCACCGTGAGGCTAAGAACATGATCTTTGAAATTAAGACGAAATCAGAGCCAAGCAGACCATAAAGACATCATCCAAAAGGACACCATCCAAATGTAACCTGGAGTGAAGTGAACTACGAATCTACTGGCACTTATGCTGCATTCCTTGGGAAGGGCTGGTTAAGTGCATTGCTAACTTTCTCATTCATTTTGTCAATTTTAATATGAATAATAGAAGTGACAGTACTGAAGCATCTAATCGTGGCCACAGGGCAGGACTTCCTTTGCTGTTCTTAAGTATCTTTCACTATCAGGAATTTTTTAATAAACATGATGTCTCCTATTACCTAAAAAAAAATTTGGCAACATCACAATAAATATGGAGGGAAAAATATCATAGTTGCTCATAAAATAATTACAGGTATATTTTGCTTCAGGAATGTAACTTCTGTACGTTCCAGTTAACTTATAAGACATGTTCTCAGGGAATGTCAAAAAGTTTACATTGATTAGAGTGATCCCATGTGAAAACATCTGTCATTCTTACCCTGGATAAAGATGATTTTCCCCGTTTTTTTTTTTAAAAATTCTACAGCCACAATCAATCAATGGATTAATGGTGTTCCACATTTTGTGCTCTGGAATCTGAAGTTAAATGGGCGTGGCTTTTGCTTTCTTTCATCTTCCCACATGTGCATGTGCTTTTGAACTTGCTTTTGGGAACAGAGCCTCCTGAACTACAGCTGTTCTCCAGCAGGATGGCGGCCAGCGTCTACGGAATGTAGCTCAAGTATTTGACACTCAGACTTAACTGGATAAACACTGAAGATAATTATAAGATGCAGTATCCCTTTTTTGAAAGCAGTTTATGGTCCCAGATATGGGGAGGGGGTGAAGCAAAACATAAAATACCTAAAAATGTATTTTTTTAAAAAAATAAGGGTTATTTCAGACTCAAATACAATTAGACTGAATCATGAGAAAATAAAATGGTTCAGAAAAATGTCACACGTCAACCTTCTAAAGTCCCTTTGAACATCAATGACACCTGTAAAAAGAGATGGCCAACTTCCATTGGGGTAGAGACGAGAATACATTGTGTCATTAATACAGGGCTACGATTATTTTCCCTCAATTTTTAATATCTACTCATTTAATTAGAGTGAAAGTTATTATTAATATGTATATAATCAAACCACTTATACATGCACATACAGTATTTTATTTGCTTTTAATTTTAGGATATTTTTTTCATACTTGGTGTTAAAAGTCATACACGAAGCTCCAAACTTTTCTGGACCTGTGACTCTATGTTGGCCAACCGATCTTATATTATCAGGTGTCCAAGGGCTAGATCCAGTTTACTGGGTATGAGGCCCATGCTGCAATTTCAGACACAGGACACATTTCACTAAAATCTGTGTACAAAATTCACGGCAGATACTTATTTTCTGCCATTGTCTCTGAGAGAGTAAAAGAAGGGAGAAAAGAGAACAGAGACAGTGAATTTCATTAATGGCATGCCTTCTTTAATGTATCTTTCGTGATATGAATAAATACAAGGAATCACACATTTAAATCAGATTCCCCATTCCAAAAATGACTTCATCATGGTGGTAACGGCAAGTACAGAAATACCTGCTGTAATAGCTAATTGACAGAAAAATACATGTCCACCTTATTTTTTACCATTCTTTTTCTACATTTGCATTTCTGGTGACGAAGCAATAAAAACTGTCCTTTTCCTATCTGTACCTGGGCTCAAAGGGGGTGAAGGAGGAATGGGGCAGTAACCTGTATATGCACAGAGAGAAACTTCTGAAGCTGGGAATGGCAATTAAATATGCTCAACATGCTGTCGAGCCAGTCAGTTGGTAGGCATCCTCCTCATTATAAAAAAATGCAAGAAAATAATAATCCTATGAAAAAAAGATTATCTGTTACAAAGTAAAATAAATTAGCATGTAAGTCAGTCACTACGTTATTCAATTTGCGGTTGCTGTTTGGCTTTTCCGTGTCAAAAAGGGATACTGCATCGTTCACTCAGCTCTTATCGTACAACCAAGCAAGCTACACAGAGTTTTGAAGGACCTATGCAGTCATCATGGCAGAAGGCCCCACAGCCTTTGCACACAATCATGGCTTTCAGCCGGCAAGAGCATTTCAGTTCCAATTCGTCCGCGTTGCTGCTGTCGGCAAAGTTCTGAACAGGCATCTGAGCGTTCTGACCAGGCAGGCCCGTGGCAGGACTAGAGCCACTTCCCAAAATCCCAATGGACTTTTCAATTGCAGACGCTGCCCTTTTGAAGCTCGTGCTACCAAAGTGTATTGTTGGATAATTTCCACAGAGCTGCTGTTGTTGCTGCACCTGCATTTTCTGAGCAGCTAATTGGGGAAAAGGCTTCTGTGGCTCAGAAAGCAAATAGGAAGAGAAATCTGCATTTTTTAGCGCAAATGCTTTTAACTGTTCTTTCATTTCATTCTGGTCATAGGAAACTTGTTTCATGCCCAGTTCACAGCTGCTGCTTAAACCTTCCTCAAAAGAAAGAGGTTCCGATTTTATATTGCTACATATGCCCGTGGACTGTGGCCAACTAAGTCTCTTAGTGGTTTCCATGGTAACTGGCGGTTGCTTTTGATCAGATGGGACTTCTGCATTAGGGAGAGGTGGAGGTAGTGGAGGTGGTGGTGGGGGAGGCGGGGGCAAGGCCAAGGGTGGAGGGGGCGGGGGTGGAGGAGGTGGGGGCAGTGGAGGATGCACTAGTGCTTTGTTTGGCATTGTGTGTGTAGCCCCTCCCACGTCATCACCTTCCTTTATGGGCATATTGGGGGACAACATGTTGGCTAGCCTTAGCTGGTGGGGTGCTGAAGGAAGACTAACCTCTCCTAATCCCTTTTGTTCAAGATGCCTATTGAAGGCAAATGCATTACAGCCCACGGCGGGCTTGGAAGAGGCCTGTAAGAGAGCTGCAGTGGGAATGGGGCCCCTGGCAGCCATGGGCATTTGGTAAAACTGCTGTCTGTGTGAGGTACCAGCATCAGGGTGGAAACCGCCATTTTTGTCAACATGAAATAGGTTCTGCTGGAAGCTACACGCGGGGAGCAGCCGCTTTTGCTGTTTGACCTCGGGGCTGTGAACGATTCTGTTCTGCATGGAGTGTTTGTTCAGCCATTCTTGCTTAAATGGCTGACTGTGTCCTAGCTGACTCATGCCTGAATTTATGACACACGGCACCCCTTTAACATCTGGATCCACCAACAACTTCCCTGGTTCACATTTAACTTGAGTGTGTTCCCCTACAGTCCTGGCTACTCTCTTTTTGGGATGGTTTTCTCGCTTCCTCATTTGTAGTGGTGCAAGAGTCCCTGCCAAGTAGCCCTTACCATCTGGGTTTGGAGAGCTGGAAGGCATTTCAACGATGTTCCTCTCTGGTGGTGTTTTACCCACTGAGGTAGTTTGAAGGGGCAAAGGAAGCCTGTTGATTTCGAGCTTGGCACCCAGTCTGGGCTGTGGCAACACTTTCTCCAAAGGCAGGTTGCCCTGCAGTAGCTGTGTCACCAGTGGGTTGTTAGCCTCCACGGATGACAGACGACAGCTTGAGCTTCCTGCACTCGGAACTCTTTTCAGGGTGTCTGGAACCAGGGAAATGGCCTCTTCCCTGGCACTGGACGAAGGAGCATCCAGGTTCTGTGCTTGTGGTATGGTGGCGGCTACCTCTACCGGTGGCGGAGGCAGCCCAGGGCCAGGGAAGTCTTCGGTGTCCATTCTAAAGCCCTTGTCCACTTCGTGAGGTTCAGATTTCACAGGAAGAGCGACGTTTGCTATGAGATTCCTGGGGTGCAGCTCTGACACGTGCGAGTAGCTGGCATGTTCAGTTTTGATGGCCTTCGGGCAGCTCTGCTCTGCATATTCCTTCTGTTTACCTGAAACAGAGTGACTGACCAGAGGCTGTCCTGTGCCCCTCATGGCATCCTCATTCCAGCAGATCCGGTTTCCTGGGTTATACTGATTGCTACAGGTTGTGTCTGCTTCACTTTTGTAAGTAGTTGGGTTCCGGGTCTGCTCAGCAAAGCTATGACTAGGAGCAGCCACCTCGTTTAATTTGTCTGGAACAACAAGGGGCAGTTCTCGGAGACTGGTGCAGGGGGCCTGCAGGGTTTTACAGTCTTGTTTGACTGCAGAGGCAGCAATGAAACTCGAACTGTGGTCTATACTTTCACTTGCCACTGGCTCAGGCCTGCTAATTACAGAGACCTGAGGACACGCCATGGGCTGGATGGATACCTCTGTCCTCACAGACCTGCTCTGGAGGTCCAAGCTGGTTTCTGCACTCTCAATGGAGACAGTCAGTGACAAACTGGAGGTCAGCGTGGTGCTGTGGTCAACGATGACTTTACAGGGAATGGATCTGTTTATGGTTGCTGGTGCAAAGCCCCCGGGTGGCTGCTGAGGTTTCCCAGAATTGTCTGCCCTGTTTCGAGGCGCTGAATTTTTGTCCAAGCTTTCAGCACTTAACTTCGGAGGACTATCGTAAGAGTTTATAGTGAGCATGTTTCCCGTAAACATTGCGACAGGCGGACGTGCAACCAGAGCGTCGGTGACTGCCACTGAGTCACTGCAGCTGAGGGCTGCTCTCACAGTGGTACCCATGGATACGGTGGCCTGTTCTTCACTCCCAGGCATGGCTATCTTCTCAGAAGGAAATCTGCTGTTAATTCCCGTGGGGGGAATCAAGACAGAGCTAGTGGAGAGATGGTTTGGCAAATTATTTCCAATGGAGGGAGTTGGCACAGAGGTGTACTGACTGGAGATTAAGTTAGTGGCACTGCTGCTTGGTATGAGCAGTGGCTTATCGTCCATGGAGCTGGATATACCGGCGCCCTCTGTAGTGGCCGGAATAGGAGTGCTTTCAATACATTTTGGTATAATGGCTATGCATGGAGTGTCAGTTCCCTGGATGGTTTTTAACATGCTTATATTACAAGCAGAAATGGTAGTGGTTGCACTGTCGACAGACATCAGCACAGAGGATTTGTCAACAGAACTCACAAAGGGGTGTTCTTTAATTGCTCCCGACATAGCAGCGCTGCAGACAGACACGGGGACAGGATTTTTATTGAGAAGCATGGGCATACTGCTATTTTCAGAAGAGGTAGATGAAACAATTTTCTCGGATAAATGTGACACAGGTATGTTTTCATCAGAACTATGTACAGATAAGTCAGTGGCAGTTTCCGGAAGTTGAGTGGGGTTAAGAGACTGCTGTAAAACAGTGCTGCTCTCCCGGAGGTGAGCGGACTTGTTGCTAGGAGACCTGCAATTTGGATTGACAATAATGACCCCGGTGGAACCTTCCATTTTTGTTTCAGGGGTAGAAGAGACTTCTAAGTTTGGAAGCCCTTCCTTGGAGCTGAGCGAAGGCAACCGGGTCTCTTTAGAAGTCTGGAAGAGGTGGGCTCGGGCTTGATGTTTTGCAAAGAGCTTAGCCTTGGTCTGCTCTTTGATGTGTGCCAGGGTTCTTGCCTTTCCACCCTCTCCTGGGCTCCCCATAGCGCCAGAGACGATGCTCGCTGCAGCGGCCACTGCAGCAGCTGCAGCAGCCTCACGTTGGGCCCGAGCTTGTTGGGCACGGGCCTTGATGTCTGCAAGGGTCCTGGCTCCGGTGTTCCTCCCTCCACTGACGGAGGTGCTAGTGGATGCTCTGGACTCTGGTTTGGAGACTGGCTGACTCTTGATAATAAAGGGTGGTCCGATTTTGGAAAGCTGGATCTGTGAGGAAAGAACAGAAAGAAAAAGCACTTCATATGTAATGGCAGAGAAGGCATGTGGGAGGCCATGATGCAACTGGAAAACAAGCAGTGCTCTCCTACAACATGAAAGGAACTATACCTCTGAATGAGCGCTTAGGATGTAAAGCAACAGTAAGTGCAACAAGGGTATGAAATGATGTTTTAAAAATCAACCAGTGACTTGCTTTGGCATGGAAATAAAGCACTGTCTTAATGTCTTACATAAATGAAAACAAAATCCATGTTTTGTACCATAAGATTAGCTAAAAAGTTTGGATCTGCTTAGTTCTTAAATCATCCTCCCTGCTAGAGTAGGGAAAAAAAAAAAAAAACAACTAGGACACTTACTCTGTTTGAGTTGACCTGACTTAATTTGACCCAAAGAAAAAAGTCCAGGTCAAGAGGACGGGAGACGAGAATTATCCTGGCTTCACACAAAGGTATCACACAAAGGTACTCTGTTATGGTAGCAAATTACTATGTACCTGAGTTTCACAGGTAACTCTCTCTGGCCAAGGACTGTATTCCTATACCACCTGGTGTGCTGCCTTATAGGTGTGTAATAAGCACACTATATGAGTTTGTAAACTCAGTTGTAAAATGAAATGAGTTATTTCTGGTCTATTTCCTCCACAGGGCTGTTATAAAGATTGCATGAGACTGTATTTGTGAGAGCACAGTTTTCCAAAGGGATTACATTATCATTACATCATTACATCTTCATAAAAGCAAGAGCAACACTGATTTTCTGCCTTTCCCAGAAAGTATGGAGTGGGCAGTTTCTTTTGATGTTGGTAATGCACGATCAGCTGAACTTGGAACATGTTGCATTCTACACTTTTTGCCTACTTATGCTAATGAAGAGACACATGAAATCACTGCCAAGTTCCTGAGGCACAAGACCTAGCACCCAGAATCCCATAGCAATGCTGTGATGCTCCAGTCAGTATGAGGATTCTCAGAGTCATTGGTTTGTGGAGCTGGAAGGGCCCTGGTTAAAGTCTTCATTTTCCACTTAAAAAAACGGAGCCTGTGAGGGTAGAGTCATCTGACATAGGGTCATATAAACCAGTCAATGAGAGAGTATCTGTGGGCTCCCAAGTCAGGCTGTTTAAAGTAGTCTGTTTTCTCTCCCCCCATTCTGGAAAAAAAAAAAAAAATCTTAGAAAACCTCCCCCACCCCCAACATAGATACATTTACACTATAACTGCAACACCGACTACATGATCATTTCTATTTGGAATTACGTTTTGGAACCTTGATAAATGAAATTATCATCTTCCCGAGTTGTCTCCTTATCTTTTGTAAATCACTTAAAAAGCCTCTCCTCTAATCTATGACAAGAAGAGGTGAATTTGGCAACAGAATTAAATTGTTCCTTTTAAATATTTCCCAGTCTAAAAAAAAAAAAATAAACGTATTTAAAAGTAAATCTAACACTCTTTAAAAAAAAGAGTTTAAGGCCAAACATCAAATATGTGTTTAACATCTCTAACACCCATCCATCTATCTATTAATAAAGTGCATATCATTTTGAAAATGATATTTAGACCAAAAAAAAAATCAGGCTGGTATGTTTAAAAATATTTCCTCTAAAAATGATATTTATATTTTTCTTTCTGTGGTTCAGAAATTAAAATACATACTGAATTTTTATTTACTGACTTATTTTTTTTATGTGGTGCTGAGAATCAAACCCAGTGCCTCACAGATGGCTAGGCAAGCAAGGACTCTACTAATGAGCCACAACCCCAGCCCCAATAATGGATTTTTAATTGGAGTTTAGTGTTCATCTCTTACATCTCTAGAATTTTATTTAATTGAAATTGCTTTGTTAAATAGAATGACTATAACCACATTCTTACAAACAAGTCAACCTTGTGAAGATTATGAGTTGACTATAAAAATAGATATGAAAGAATAAAGGAGGATATTTTTAAAGAGCTTGAGATATTTATAACTCCAATCAATCCTGAACTGGGGGAATACTCTAATTTATTGTACAAAAATATAAATTGGCTTAGATAAGAAACATCAAATCAAAATAACATTGGGTATGAATTTTTTAATTAAACAGAGGGTTTCTTTTGAATTGACCTGAATTTTCAGTTTACTTAGGCAGATCCAATTTATATAAAAGATTTGCTTAATGAGAATTAAGCAAATTGGTGCAGCCAATTTGGAAAGCAGTATGGAGATTTCTTGGAAAGCTGGGAATGGAGCCACCATTTGACCCAGCTATTCCCCTTCTCGGTCTATTCCCTAAAGACCTAAAAAGAGCATGCTACAGGGACACTGCTACATCGATGTTCATAGCAGCACAATTCACAATAGCAAGACTGTGGAACCAACCTAGATGCCCTTCAATAGATGAATGGATAAAAAAAATGTGGCATTTATACACAATGGAGTATTACTCTGCATTAAAAAATGACAAAATCATAGAATTTACAGGGAAATGGATGGCATTAGAGCAGATTATGCTAAGTGAAGCTAGCCAATCCCTAAAAAACAAATGCCAAATGTCTTCTTTGATATAAGGAGAGTAACTAAGAACAGAGTAGGGTCGAAGAGCATGAGAAGAAGATTAACATTAAACAGGGATGAGAGGTGGGAGGGAAAGGGAGAGAGAAGGGAAATTGCATGGAAATGGAAGGAGACCCTCAGAGTTATACAAAAGTACATACAAGAGGAAGTGAGGGGAAAGGGAAAAATAATACAAGGGGGACAAATGAATGTCAGTAGAGGGGGTAGAGAGAGAAGAGGGGAGGGGAGGGGGGATAGTAGAGGATAGGAAAGGCAGCAGAACACAACAGACACTAGTATGGCAATATGTAAATCAATGGATGTGTAACTGATGTGATTCTGCAATCTGTATATGGGGTAAAAATGGGAGCTCATAACCCACTTGAATCAAAGTGTGAAATATGATATATCAAGAACTATGTAATGTTTTGAACAGCCAACAATAAAAAATTTAAACAAAAAAGAGAATTAAAAATTTATTAGAATCATGAGACTTTATTATAGTTCTACTAGTAGTTTGTAGTGCTACTAGTAGTAATAATAATAGTAATAGTATTTTACAATATTGGGGGTTGAACCCAGGGCCTTGCACATTCTTGGCAAGCACTGAGCTACATTCTTGGTCCCTTTTATTTGGAGAAAAGGTCTAGCTAAGTTATCCAGGCTAGAATTGAACTTGTGATCCTTCTACCTCAGACTCCCAAATAGCTGGGATTTGCAGGCATGCACCCAGCGGATTTATTACTTTGTGAAATTAATGACTCTTTTTCTCTTTGGAAATAAAAATCAGGATTTGTATGTCTCTGTATCTACATTATTCTCCCTCACAGTTTATAAGGCAATTTTATAAATTTATTCAAGGAATATTTAATGAGGCCATAAACCAGGTCATCTTTGCTAAGCAATGATGGTTTTCAATGTTAGCTGGAAAATGAATGCAGGAATAACATGTACCTTCACTTCCACAGTGCTGCCCTCTGACTTTAGACTACTTTCCCTAGGACACTGAAATATCTCTTATATTTTCCCCAAGTGTGTGGAGTTCTATATGTTGGGATCCGCAAAAGTCTTAGTGTCTTAGTGGACTCCAGGCTTCTCCACATCCTGTTCCCTCTTCTTAATTTCTTCCCTTAAATACTGATGTTTAAATACCTGTTTATGAACTCATTGGATAGTTTTAAAAAGGATCATTTACTATTAAACTGGATGCTAGAAGGATTGACTGTGAATTGTGGTATAAAAACTGTAAAGAAAAACACCTGAAATACCTAATCTATTCTTGAAGTTTAAGTTTCTTTCTTTCTTTCTTTTTTTCCCCCTTTTGTCTTTTGGTATCAGAAATTAAACCCAGGGGCACTTACCCACTGAGCCCATCCCAGCCCCTTTTTAATTTTTTGACACAGGGTTTGGCTAAGTTGTTTAGGACCTTGCAAAATAGCTGAGGCTAGCTTTAAATTCACAATCCTCCTGCCTCAAATTTCCAAACCACTGGGATTACAGGTGTATTCCACCATGCCTGGCCTGAAAGTTAAGTTTCTTAATAAGGGAAGCCTCTTATACAATTTCCTTTTTAAAAAATCATATCTTAGGGCTGGGGTTGTAGCTCAGCTCTAGAGCGCTAGCCTAGCATGTGTGAGGCCCTGGGTTTGATCCTCAGCACCATATAAAAACAAATAAAATGAAAGTATTGTGTCCAACTACAACTAAAAAATAAATATAAAAAAAAATAAAAAATCATATATTAAAAATATATATATATCATACCTTGAGAGGGGGAACCCTGGGTTCCTCTCTTGGAGGCTGCTCCTTCTCGGGTGGGCTACTGGATGATATGTTCCGGGTTGACTGATCATCTTCTATCCTAGCTCTCTTTTCCTTACAGATTCCAAAGCTATGCTGTTCTGCAGTTTTCCTCTTTGATATCTCTGATTCCCTACATTCATTTCTTATCCCATCTGGTGACTTGGAGGGCTCTGATGATTTGGAAGTATGCGAGATCTCCAATCGATTCTGTGTGCTCCCTTGCTTATGTGTTTTACTTCTAGAGCCTTCTGAAAATGACGCCTTATCCACTGAAGAGATGTACTGCTTGTCCTGTAATTTAGCTGATGGAGGCTCATTTCCCTTGCTCTCTGTCTCTTCAGAGAAGGCAGGTAATTCTAATGGAGAGGATAGCCCTTTCTTTTCTGTTCTTTGTAGGACACTAAGATTTTTAACTTTCATCATTTCTGTAGAAGAAAGTTCTGGGACTGAAGGAAGATAGGGCTTCTCAATTTCAACATGTGATTTACAGGGCTGCTGACCCAGGGTCTTATTGTGAAGTTCTTCAGATGGAAACGCTTCAGGAGCAATGGAAGAAGAACCCATTTTGATGGGTTCAGGAGTATTGGATAGAGGCTTCTGCTGAGAGATGAGGTTTTCTCCCAGGGGTTTAGCAGGAGCAGAGGGTTCATCTTTCTGTGGGGAGAGTGCTTCTTCAGATACTGAAGGTGACTTTCTTTGTTGATGCACCATTCTTTCACTCATGGAAGAATTAGAAATCGGAGATGTTTCTGCAGGAAGTGGCAAACTGGATACAAAAGTGGTCTCAGAGGTGAGAAGCATGGAAGACACTGAAGAAGTTTCTGATGTCAAAGGTAAATCAGACATCGGTGATGCTTCTGATGTTAAAGGTACATTGGATACTGGCGATGCTTCAGATGGCAATGGTAAGTTAGACATAAGAGATGCTTCTGATATTTCAGGTGAAGTGGATATTGGAGATATTTCCGATATCAAAGATGTATGGAGGTTTTCATCAGTCGGATTCCTCTGATTATATTTGTCTGTATTTTCAGTGCTGGAAACCTCAGAACAAAATGTCGTTTCAAGGGAGGCTGGAGTACATGATTCTTCAGATGTGGATTGGGTTTCTCCTCCTGGGGATGGCAGGCTGGTGCAGGCTCCCTCTGGGCTCTCAGAAGAGAAAGAAGTTTCAGAGATGCAAGCATTTTCTGAAAGCTGTTCATCAGGATCACTCTGTAGCTCCATATCTACAGCAATTCCTTCATGTGGAAATTGGCCTTCTAAAGATGATGACCCTGTTTTTATTTTTGGAGTATTGGTCTCTATTGCAATTTCTGGTTCCTTAAGTTCTGCGTCACTGACATGAGTCACAGATGAAGTGGAAGGAACAAGAGAATCACAGACTTCTAATTGATCAATAACAACTGACATTTCTTCCTGCAGAGATTCTGATTTCTCTTCTATCTTAACTTCAATATGAGGCAAAGTTTCTAAAACATCATTCATCACAACACAGGATTCTACGTTGCCATCAGGAGGTGCTATTAGGGGCTCTTCCTGAGAGGTGGTTGGACTTTCACACTCCTCTGAAAATTCATGTATTGTCTTGTGATTTTCATCGTGGCAGTCACAGATACTAGTCTCTACTTCTTCTGCAATTTCCTCCTGAATCACAGCTTCCTCGGGGATCAAAATATCCTCTGATTCCAAATCTGTCATTACGTCTTTAGCTGGAACTTCGACCATTGGACACACTGTAGCACAGAGATCAGGTTGTGAAGAAGCAGAACTTTGCATGCTTTTGGGCTGTTGTTCTTCCAAGGGGGTCTGTGCAGAAGAACCCTGAAGACCAGCGGTCCCACGTGAAGAACTACCTTCAGCTCCATTATTGTTTGGTCCAGAAGTAAGCTTCATAGACTCCTCTCTTGACATGCCCAACCTGAACCGAAATTACATATATTAAACTATTGCTCAATCACAAAACATGAAAGATACAACTTGGATCTCTCTCATAGTACTTACTTCTATCCAATAGAAGTAAATGGATTGAATTAATCTTATATCCAACTTAGTGAAATAATTCATTTATGTAAAATAGTTTATAATGATATAGTTTCTCCACTACCTTTATAACCATAACTAAAACAAACTCTACTTCTGGGTTAGAAAGATATTTTTATTGTGTAAGCAAGGAAATACCGACCTTAGCAAGTATTCATAAAGCCAATAATAAAATCCCAAATAAAAAAGATCAGAAAATATGGGCAGAAAAGCAAAGGAATGTATAAGATATAACTTTTCTGAAGTCAGATTGTAGAAAGATGCCGTAATAATAGAAAATTCTGTGGACTTCAGATTATGCGACAGTTAATTAAGATCAATGGAAAATGAAGAAAATACACAAAATTCTGAAATTGAAATGACATCCAAAGATTAGTTCTCTTGAAGTAATCTAAGAAATATTACTCAATCATCTTATTTTAGTATCTAATTTAAAATATGGAAACTCTTCTAAATAATAAAACATTTGGGTTCGTCAAAGTTATTCTAACAGATTCCATTTGTGTGAAGCAAAACTTTTAAATACATTCATGTAGATGGCCTTACTGTTAAGCTATTCCATACGAGGTAGTAAAAAAAAATCAATAAATAATCCAGCCTAACATTCAGCAGTCAAAGCTATTAAGAATTACAATTATATATACTCTGGGTTTTTTTACATATTAAGATATAACATCAGCATCAGATGATAGAGATACATCTATTCTAAATGAAGTTTAAACAGGGAATAAGCAATGACAAAAATAAGTATAAGAGAGACTACTAACAAAGAAACACAGTGAAAAAATATAGCTATAGTAGTACTGATGTAAGAAATGTCAGTGAAATCCATTTTAGTCTTTTATTTAAATAAAATTCTCAAACTGTAAAATTGAATACACTTTTTGGGTGTCTGATCATTGTTTTCTTTCTTATAATTCAGAAGATTCTGAAAAGACTGGACAATAGTTCATTCAGAGTTTCTTTTCAGCTTTCCCTAGAATGGGTTCAAACTGAGTTATAATTTATAACTATACTATACTAGGAGAAGAACTATATTACAGAAAATTTAAAGCACAATAATCATCTGGATATAAAGTCCTTCAGAACTAGGTCAAGCAGAGATACCTCTGACACTAGATATATGACAGATAGAATATCTAGACAAATTTTTGTTAGTTGGCTAAAAGCAATGATATTAAATATACATATGGATAAAGATATGTGTGAATGTGTGAAATGACATTGTATTAAATGTGCTTATGCTAATACTTGATTATTTTCATGCAACAATAGGTGTACCGTGGCACAGGCACTAAAGAAGACACTCACTGCATACCACATTCCTCACAAAGGGAAAACTGACCTCAAGAACCCACACCACAAATTCAGAGAACAACCTATAATTCTGAGTTGGCATATAGACGAGTGGTCTCTAAGTAACTAAAACTAATATAGACCAGTACTATATTATAAGCAGATTAAGTCAACAATGATTATGATAAATATCTAAAACAAGTCCCAGACGACTACATCAGACACAACTTAAATAGAGACAAGTTTAGATGGCAACATTTTTTGGAAAAACATAAAGCAATGAGAAGCACGTGGTGTTGGTCAACAGAAAATTTTATGATGTTAGGGAAAATCCCTCCAATTGGGGAAATATGGGTAATCTAAGAGTAAAAAAAAATAAAATGGGAAGGGCAGTCAATGAACGATCCATAACGTATCTGTCAATCAATATGCAATAGAAGAAAAGAATGAGAGACTCAATTCACAATAGCTAAACTATAGAACCAAACTAGGTGTCCTTCAACAGGTGAATGGATAAAGAAAATATAGTATATATACACAATGAAATATTATTCTCTACAAAGAAGAACGACTCTATGGTAATTGCTTGCAAATGAAGGATCTGAAGACTATTATGCTAAGTGAAATAAGCCAATCCCAAATACCCAAAGTTAAATGGTCTCTGTCATATGTTGATGCTAACATACAACAAGAGGTGGGAGGAGAAGAACAGAAGTTCAGTGGATTAGACAAAGAGGAATTAAGAGAAGAGAGGGGGAACAGGAAAGACAATGGATTGAATCTGACACAACTTTCCTATGGACATATGTGAATGCACCACTGTGGATCTCAACATCCTGTACATCCATAAGACTGGAATCCTAATTAGAATAAGATATACTCCATGTTTGTATAAGTATGTCAAAGTAGACTCTACTGTCATGTATAATAACTAAAAGGAACAAATAAAAATACATGTAAAAAAGAGACTAAACATATTATTCATAAACTACAGAAAAGAAAGGGTCCAGAGTAAGAATTTCTTTGTGTTTGCAGTTTGGTGAGGTGATGAGGAGTCATACTTAAGAGCATTGTAGCTGCTAATGAGAAGCACATGGTGTCGGTCAATAGAAAATTTGGACATTATCCCTTAACCTAATATTCATGAAAATTAATGAAATCCCCAAATTTCATGCAAAAACCGTGCAGGTGTGAGAATTTTTCTAAGAGCTATTTACAGGGATAAGACTGAGTAATTTACTTAACCTTGCTGTGTAAACTTGGGAAAATTACTTAGCTTCACTTTTTCTTAATTTTCCATTTTTAAACAATAGTAATAATAATAATATCCATGCTACATAATTATTAAGATGATAGAATAAAATAATACTACAAAATTCTTAGGAAACATAACAGTCAGTATATGCTCAATAATTATTTGCCAGATGAAGGAAAGCTCTCTAATGCAAAGTCCCATTAATGTGGGCTCACTGGGGGCAGAGTCGCAAAAGCCCTGCAAGGGACCATGCCCCTGGCATTGAAGAGTGTCAGTTACAGAGGAGAGGTTAGATAAAATATTATTGTTAAATTAATGAAAGAATAGGTCCATCACTTATCAAAAATTAAGAATCAGTGCTCTAGAGGTAACTAACTGAGTTATATTTCTGCCATTACTAAAAATAGTGCCCCCAACATTCACTTCCATGGATAAAAGGAGAGGGTTTCTGAGTGGTCTTCAAACTGGTCCTCATGATTCTTAACCCTGCTGGGCTGTGGCTGTGGCATGACCTGGAAAGTTTCTACCAGAGTGGATTCTTGGGTTCAACTCCTGGAATTCTCAATCAGTATTTCTCAATTCGTATCTATTTACAATCTCCAATGGGGATTCTGATGTGGCCAGGATTGAGTAATACTGCTGGTGATTATATGTGAAGACACAGAAGTAGCCTGCTTCACATTCAACCTTTGAGAAAATACAAGAATTGTTTCCATTAAGTTCGCATAAAACTGGGCTGGCACAGCAATTAAAAACAGGCCTTATGGCTCAAGAGAGCTGCTACAGAGGATAGTTCACCCAGGCTGCCTTCCTCCAAGTAAGCAGTCTCTTCCAACATCAGAGTCCTTTTCCAGAAGAGCTCACCAATAGGACTCCTTTTGGCTTATTTTCATCATTTACAGGAGAAATTTTGTGAAATCGGAGCACACAGCACAGGTTTTGTTACCTGCAACCACCTTGGTGTTCTTTGCACAAAATAACAATTTTCAAGTCTTAGTTACGAAAGTGGTATTAAAACCCAAACTCTCCTCCTGAGTATGACCTGAAGTCAGTGTCAAAGATCAGCCCCCAAATCTTTCCTTTCCCGAGGGGATGAGTGTCTGAGACACTAATTCTACACTGAGTAGAAAATATCTGTGCTGGATGTGAGGCAAAGTTGGAACTGTTCGCAGGTTAGTTCAATTACTACTACACTCAGATGTGGCTGGTCTGACTTTTCTGAAGGAAAAAAAAAAGTGGATGTGAACACACAAACAATAAATTAGAAACAGACAACTGAGAGAAAGATGGACAGACAAAGTGAAGGCTAATACCCTCAGGCTTTCCCCAAAACAAAACTAAACAAATATTAAAGTGGACATGCTGAGCCAATATTTTTGGAAAATGATGTGAGAATTAAATATGTGCCTAAAACTACTTATCTTTAAAGAATTTACTAATGAAAATACTTGGATAAAAACCAGGGAAATTTTACTAAAACCTACTTGTGAAAGCCAAAATTGACCTCTATAGGATTTCATGTGCTATTTTCAGTCCAAAATGAATTTTCATGAACAAGTTATAAACCCTTGAAAATGCATTTTAAAAAATTTAAGTGCTGATATGCCAGTATAATTTTACCCGCAATTTCTTACACCGAGGGACTATTGCCTTTTATCACAGGTTTATTAAGTTTTACAGCATATGAGTGTGCTATGTGAAGCGGAGAATTACATTTTCATTTCCTTCTAAGAGAAATGAGAAAAAATGCTCTAGTACTTACTTTTCTCCATAAAATCTCTCAAAGAATTTTTCTTTCCAAGGTTCTGTTTTCTTTTCCTTCTCAATTTCTTGCCGTATTCGTAATTGCATTTCTGGGGTAAATTCTCCTGGAAAGAAAATGGTAATGTATTGAGTAAAAGCGGTCACATCTTTTGCCACTAAATAAAGAAAACACGTAATTCATTTGAGTAAACTTTTATGGAGGTTGAAAAGTAGAAGGATGAGTAATGGCAACATTTCTACAGTTTCTCTTTATGAATATCACTCAAATAGTCATTTCATCTTAGATGAACTCTAAAACATTTAGCAAATGTATTGCATGTTAGGGGCTCTAAAGGGAAGCAATGCATATGCACCATCCTTAAGGAAATCAGTCTGGTGGGAGCAGAGGCACATAACTGACTATGAAATAATGTCAAAAGTCCTACACAGGCCATAAGAATAATATATGTAGTGAAAGTAGAGACGGGAAAACACTTAATTCTGCCTAAGTCAATTAAGGAGGATTACATATAGGAGTTGGTTCTTGAGTTAACTTTTGAAGGATGACCAGGCTTTGATGAAAATGATTAAATCACAAGGCACAGAGCTATGGGGATGTATAGTTATGTTCTTTTCAGTGGCAAATTGTGATTAGAAATGGCATGAAATGAAATAGCCAAGGACAGCTGAGGCCAGTTACCCAACCTAAGTTCCAAAGAGAGTTCTGCACTTTTCTGAAAGAGAAAGGTGGTTCTGTTGTCATTTGGCAAGGGAGGAACATGAATATATAAATAGCTCAGAATGATGGGTCTCTCAATATAGTGAAGAAACTGCAGGACTTCAGTTTGGAGGCCACTTAGAGATGTGCCAGCCTCAGCAGTGATGTTGAGGAGGAGGAAATACAATGAATGGCCAGAAAAGAGGGCCAAAGACAGCAGTATGGCTTTAAACTGAGAAGCTGCAAGGACAGTGGTAACAATACAGAAAGAAAGAGCAGGCCAGGCAGAGTGGCAAATGCCTGTAAACCCAGAGGCTCAGGAGGCTGAGGCAGGAGGATTACGAGTTCAAAGCCAGCCTTAGCTACTCAGTGAGGCCTTAAGCAAAATTTAAAAAGGGGCTGGGAACGTGGCTCAGTAGTTGAACACCCCTGGGTTCAATCCCTGGTATAAAAAAAGAATAAAATGAAAAACAAAACAAAAAAAATAAAGAAAGAAAGAAAAAAAGAAAGAAAGCAAGCAAGCAGAAGGAGCAGCAAATGAAAGGGAAAATACTAAATTTAACATTGGGTGCTTTAGTTTTAAGGTATCTGGCATCAGCTAGTGATACCTGGTAGGAGTTTAAAATGGGACACTAGAGATAAGAACAGGGTGAGAGTCAGATTTGGAAGTTCTTGACATATGGCATCAGTTAACACCAAGGTGGTGAAGATGGCTGCTTGGAGAATATGTGTGGTTATAAAGGAAAATGCTGGGGACATCATTTACCATCAAATGGAAGGGAGGGGGGGTCCCACAGGAAACTGAGAGGATTGTCAGAAATGTAGCCCCAGGAAATCATTTAAAACATATTATGGATGTCTAGGGTAGGCGGTATCCTATTAGGGAAAAAAAAGAAAAGAGGTATTTGGGACAGAGCATGATGTGTAAGGACAGGAAGAGGAAGCTGGAGTTGGCCATCAGAAGGCACTCCTATATTTATATATTTTTTTAATAAGTATTTCAGTTGTGTCTGGAGAGGTGTAAAAATGTGGTAGCACTGAATTTTTAGTTTTCCAAGAAGCGTGTGACTATAGGAAAGACAAGGTAAAATGGAGGCTTCAGGGAGAAAAAGTACTAACAGAAGTTTCCTTAGATTCCAGGACACTTAGAATGCATAAGGATCAAAAAAATGTGTAATTAAAATTATCATTTCAAAGAAAATCATGCTGCATCAAAAATGTTTACTACGTCCCAGATAATATCCTGCTTTCTTCAAAAATATCTGACAGCAAAATGCCAACTACAACAAAAGAATCAGTGAAGTCATCTGTGAGGTTTTGACTAAATTAAAATATATTTGAGGGAGGAAAAGATCTGGAAATCAGAGAAAGGTACAAAGCTCAATACTGTATGTGAACTCCAATATGTCACATCATAACAGAGAACCGAAATTTACCTTCTGCCAGTCGCTGTTTCCATCCTTGTGCTGCATATGCAAAGAATTCATTATTTAGAGCTGAAGTACTGAGGCGTAAAATTCCATCACTTCCCATCTACGAAATAAGCCGACAAAAACAAGATCCCATCAGGAATAATTCAAAGCAAAAAAGTATGAAGTAAAGCAGCAAAAACTGAATGAGGCTGGGGTGTGTGTGTGTGTGTGTGTGTGTGTGTGTGTGTGTTTATGTGTCTGTCTGTCTGTGTTGGGGATCGAGGCTGGAGGAAGAGAGGACAGAAAAAGGACCCCCCCCCAAAAAAAAATAAATCCCGTAGAATAAAAACTATGCATCCTGCTTACTGATACAGGGCATGGAAAGAACAGTATTGTCCTTGACTGGCTTCTTATGCAGTTGTGGAGTGCAGATAAAACACGAAAGGAGAAACAATGTCAGGCATCAGGTGAGTGGGGATTAAGAAATGCAAAAAGTAAAAGCTACGGGAGATATTTGGGTACGTGTGAGTACTTAGGAAGAACTTGATACAGGAGGTGGAACTGGTGCAGAGTTGAGAGATTAATAGGATTTGAACAGAAGGATTAGAGTTCTAGGCATGGAGTGTAGTGTCCGAGGATGTGAGCTTTCTTGCAGAGGCAGGACAATGACATCAAAACCAGTACTAAAGGTATGAGGGTCCTTTAGTTGGTACTCAAAGATCTGGCAAATTATAGCCCAAACTACTTCCAAAGATTTCTTCTTACTCTATAGATATTCACTAATATCTGAGAACACATGTTTCTATTATTTTCTCTATTCTCCATCTTCAACCACTGAAACACTAACCTCCTTTTAAAATTTAACTCAATGTTTTCATGAATGTCTGGGAAACCATCTTTCCAGAGCAAAGGAGAATATCAAATTTAAAAATGAACATTATTCGATCTGTTCTAAAGTCAAACCCAGAGGCTGGGGATATAGCTCAGTTAGTAGAGTGCTTGCCTTGCACACACAAGGCCCACAAGGCCCTGGGTTCAATCTCCAGCACCACCAAAAAAAAAATATATATATACAATCAATCAAACCCAGAAAAGAGAGACATCAGGAATAAATGAGATATGCTGCTTGATGGCCAAAGATGTGAATCTGTGCTTTCTTCATCTGAGAAGAAACTGGTAACCATGCATGGAAATCTTAAGGCAAAAGTTCATTCATTCATTGTTTACCCTATCTTAATTTTCACCTTTATTCAACATATACTTATTATATAACACCCATGTGAAACTATCTGCCTGGCACTTGCATGGTGCTGGCACTACAGTAACAACAAAGGAAAACCCATTATCCTAATGTTCTGAATATATTCTACATAGGGCAGATGCTTCTGGTTCTTGTATGGCCCTTTCTGGGTCCACCTGGGTTCCACATGGCTGTAATTAAGTTAGGTCACCTTGCCAGTGTCCTTTCTCACGGACTACCACTGCCCAGAGGCATGAAGGGGAAATGTCCCATCCTTTGGATAATTATAGGACACTATGCTCTAGAGTATGGCTTATGTACTGAACCAACAGATGATAATTGGTGATGTGTCCTCAGTGACTATAAGTGGGTCTAGGCACTAAGGGGTGGAAATGAGTCATCATACTACCAATCCCTGGGACACACTTGCATGTGGTGTGACTCCAGTCCCCACAGCTCTAGATGCTGTGGGCTTAGAAGTCCAAGTTGCCCAGGGTGGCGTCATTTCTGCAAAGGAATAGTTTCTCAATTCTGGCACTACTGTCATTTGGGGCGGATAATTCTTTGTTATGGATGCACAGTGGGGTGTGTGGTATTTAGCAGCATCCCTGGCTTCTACTCACTAGATACCAGTAGTGACCCCTCTCTCAGATGTGGTAACTAAAAATGTCTCCAAATATTATTAAGTGCAATTTGGAGACAGAATCATCCCCAGATAAGAACCAGTACACTACTAGACAACACAGAGGCTCTACTGCAGCTAAGCTCTGCCTGGTTACTTTGTACTTTTCATCCTTAGGACCATCAAGCAAAGATAAAAGTTACTAGACAATGAGATGATCAGCCCTAACTATCATTAGAGAACAGGACTGCTGCCTCAGAGCGAAGCCAACAGGAGGACTCTGTGGGTGTGTGGATTCACTGGAATATCGCTTCTAACTAGCAAAAGTGATGGTCTGAGACAAACAGAAATGGTTTTCAAAGGAGATGAGCGACTGCAAACACAGACTTAAGACAACAAGTGCAGCCTATAGCTGGCCTAGTAACCCCTAGACATATGTCTTTTTTTTTTTTTCTTTCCAACTTATCACGACCAACTACCCCTTAAAGAGTCAGTGACACAGTGGTCATCACGTAAGGCACAGCGATATTTGAATGGTGTAAGTAGACTGTACCGGACGATGGTAGTGCCCCACTCCATGTCCTCTAGCCAACACAGCGCAGAGAAGCTGGGTAAACACTTCAATGCACTCCTCTTACCCAATCATCTAAAGCTACAGGACACTCTGTGAAGCACAAAGGTCTTTGAGGTACAGTCAGGGCATACACAGTTTGGTCCCGGGAGCCACTAAATATCCACGAGAGGAAAGGCCCCCAGTCTCCTGCAGTCCCCGTGTGGGAAAATTCTGTGGCCTCGTCTACAAGTGTTCTCTGAAGTTCCTCAAGCAGCACTGAGTCCAGCTGTCCAGGGTTTCTTCACTCCCTTTCTCACACTATTAAACCCCTGGCTTCTGCTTCCAAACTATTAGTACTCAGGTTCTTGTCTTGCCTCCGCTTTGGGAGCAAAGGGACCAGGGAAAATCTTAAATAAGACAGCTAAGCCATGAAGTTTGGGCTCTAACCCCTACCTGGGAATAGCACAGTGAATGTACCATGAGTTCACACGAAGCCCCAGGTCAGTGGCTCCCAGGTCTCAGTTTCCCCTCTTATTTACTTCCACGTTTTACTATCTTTCGTCAATGTGTGCCATAGGGGGGAAAGCTGCAAAGTGTGTTTTAGGTAATGGGAAACTATCCAAAATGTTGAAGCCTTAGAAAGATCTAAAAAGACTCGTGATTAAAAAGATGGTTTTAGAAGCTGTGTAAAAGATGAGAAAGAAAGGGAAAAGTGGATTCAGAGACACCACTGGAAATCTTGTTAGTATTTCAGTAAAAGATGACAAAAGAAAAGCAAAACTGGAAGAAACTCAAGATTTGGTGAATGTCTTCAGGACTGAGGAAATAAAGGCTTTGAGAGACTATTTCAGAAAACACTAAAATTTCTCAAGAGGATTCTGGGAGATGGGGTGGATTTGAAAAGGATAACCTCCATTGAGTACATGTCTTCAAGGAACCCTATCCAAGAGGCTGAGCAAAGAGGACAAGGATGAGGATAAGACGGTCAGCCGAACAGGCCTCTAGGAAGCATGAGGGACATTCTCTGCAAACACAGGCTCTGAATACCTGTGCTAGCGGTTCAGGAGCTGTAGAAAAGGAGCTCTTCCACTGAGGAAGTCTGAAAGGGAAGAGGTGTTCCTCCTGCAGATGTCCACTGAAGTTAGGACCCGTGGGCAGAGGCCAAGTTCCCAGAAAAGGTGAAGAACTGTGTACTAAAGAGTTGATTTATGGAAGGTACAGTAGAAAGGGTCAGAATTATTCTATATTTGAGGGCATATTTGCAGCACTACATTCTTCACACTCTGTGCAATGCTTCGTATCTTGCAGGTCCTCAATAATAGTTTATTGTTCTGTCTTTATTTGGGATAGTGAAAGGTTGAAGATTAAAGTCTGGTAGCTGATACACAGAACTGTAGTTGTGTTATGTTGTCAGGCGAAGGACTTGAGTAGTTTCTAACTGAAATTTCAGCGTAATTTTGAAACACAAAGAAACAGCAGATCCAGATGCACTCTGACAGATTCTCAAGATTTCAGCACACAAAAATGTAAGGCAGTGTGACATCAACACACTCAAGAATAAAAAGGCTAGCCCCAGGGGGAATGTTTATCTTTTAAAAACAGAAAAATAATATGAAATGCCAGATTCCTAGCCTATAGGAGACGGCACAATTAAACACAAGGGCTAAATTAGACCTAGGAAATATATGCCAATAAAACTTTTAAAACACAATATTAATTTTATGGCCTTTAAGAAATACTGTCTAAAAGATATAACATTTTAATGAACTGGAACAATAAACATTTCCGAAAGATCTATTTATTGCTGAGCTATAAATTCTTGCATTTTTCATTAGCCTCGATAGAAGCATTCATTCTAAAAAGATCACCTAAATATAATGAACTGTCTAACTAAAGTATTGATAAGTTATACTTTCTTTTAAATGAGCAAAAGGAAAACTCTGACTGAAATAATGCTTTCAAAGGAAAATAATACCAGTAAAGGGAAACTTACTCATACAGAGACCTTTTTACTGGAAAGCCTTTCTTTGGGGGATTTTAGCCAGGTTTAAACTATCAATTATTTCTATCCCTTGCCTTTGATATTGGCTATATTAACATGCATTTTATGGGATGAATATCAAGTGGAATACAAAGGGTTAACCGAATGTTGCTATTTCATCCTATCCAATGCTTGAAGCTGGATAAATATTAATTCAGTACAAAAATATATTAACATTTCAGTATAATCTTTTAAACCTGTACTAGATTTTTATCACTTTTTTTTTTCTTATTTTGTAGTTGTTGCAAGTGATTCTAAATGCACAGTATGGGGGCTGAGTGGAGGAAGAGTGAGAAATATGCTGGAGTTAGAAAATGGGTAAATAATGGTACATATAGAAATACAGGTAGTTTGGAATTCAGTCTACGGTCATTGGGAGTTGTTCAAAGTTAAACAAAAACATGATGAAAAGATTCACTTATTGTATGCAGACAAGCAGATGGCTGATTTAGACAGGGTGTCAGGATGGGTCTCCCTGATACTACTAATAAGGGACACTGGAGCAGACACCTGAAGAAGTGTGAAAGTAAGCCATACAGTGATATGAGAAAGAGTTTAGCAAAGGAAATGAAAATGCAAAGACCCTTGGGTAGGTGTGTGAGGAGACTGTTATCTTGTAGATATGTGTGAGACAATGCAAAAATGGTTCAGAAGTGAAATGAGTT